ATAGTTATGTGTTACTTACTCGTTTTTCTATTCATTTCCAGTTGTATCGTTATTTCGATTTTGAGATATTAGCACATTTGGTACTGCGCAACTGGAAAAAACAAAGAAGCGAAAGTAAACCATGGCATTACACGGTCACTTACGAGCAACGTGATGCGCAACTTTCCTTCTTTGAAACGTTCCTCTCAATCTGGCATTCCGGTCTAAAGTGTTTTCTACACCGTTCGAAAGAATATATTGGTTGATTTTTTCATTTTGAATCATATCAGTTTTAATCATGAAAAAATCCTGATTTTAAAAGCGTTTATTGCGTGATTTATTTATTCTTCTATCAAAGTTGATTGTTTTGAAAAAAAAATTGAAAAGCTTTTCGATTTGTTTGTTCTTTGAAACTATTGCTTATGAAACTATTCCATTAGTCCAGGAAAGTCTTTGACAGAGTTGCAAAGCAAGTGCGAAGGCACTGAACACGAGGTCCGGTTTCTAATGCCAAAGTTGGACCAAGTTACTCAACATCCACCCCCCCCCCATCCGTTTAGGGGGAGGATGTTAACTTGGTTCTGAGTTCGAATTTTCAAATATTTGACTTCCTTTAATTTTTTTCCATTTTTTAATAGTTTTTACTGATAGTTTAGAGCTCCATGTTGACATTGTCCTTGCCTTTGCTTTCAATTTTTTTTTGTTCCGAAAATGTTTTCTCATTGTTTGTTGACTATTCTTTTGATCTGACTAGCGAGGAAAGTTAGCTAATTAGCACTTGCTGGTCCTCAATTTGAACATCAAAGAATCAAGTAGAAGTGTTAAGTATGGGACAAAACGGCATAGGACAAAATCTCATGTGGGTCAAGTTGGCATAGGACAAGTTGCCATGTAGGGCAAGTTAGTATAGGACAAGTTGGCATAGGGGCAATTGACTTGGGGCAAATAGTCCTGACACCTTTTTGCCGAGTTCAAAATCGCCTAATTTAAAGCCAATCAGGGAATTTTATGCTCATTTGCGTTTTTAGTCTTGTTTTTGCAAATAATTATTATGAGTTAATGAACATGTTTCAAACTTTCTTATAGGTCGCGATGATTTTCTTTAGGCTCAGTCTCAAATTTACTTTTTGGCGATTTGACTTTGATTTTTTCTTTGACGTTTAATTTAACCGTTGAAAGGAAAGCAAACTCCACTATCGAACAGCGATAGTGTAAAGGTCACGAAAAACGCTGGACTTCTAGTTCCAAAAGCGGAAATAAATTATTGAACTTCCCAGCGAAACAAAAATTTTACCTATTGATCCAGTTTTCTCACATTGGGTTAAATTTTTCAAAAAAGTCAATCATGAATTGTTCTTGAATTTCGGAGAGCTTAAAATAAATTTTTTTTCGTTGAATTCTAAAATTTTTTATGTTTACTTGCGTTCATTGACTCCTTTCCAACTGTCTGTTTGCTATGTTTTAACCAACTTATCTTTTTAACCCACTTTGTCCTCCAAAACTTGGAATAATTTAATTAAATAATCTTGTACGATAGCATTTAATGAATAAAAATTCATTTTACATTAAGCAGCATTTCTCCACATCAAAACTTAATGGACACTTGGTCGCTTAAGTTTTGTTTGTGGTTTAGAGCTCCATGTTGACATTGTCCTTGCCTTTGCTTTCAATTTTTTTTTGTTCCGAAAATGTTTTCTCATTGTTTGTTAACTATTCTATTGTTCTGACTAGCGAGGAAAGTTAGCTAATTAGCACTTGCTGGTCCTCAATTTGAACATCAAAGAATCAAGTAAAAGTGTTAAGTATGGGACAAAACGGCATAGGACAAAATCTCATGTGGGTCAAGTTGGCATAGGACAAGTTGCCATGTAGGGCAAGTTAGTATAGGACAAGTTGGCATAGGGACAATTGACTTGGGGCAATTGACTTGGGGCAAATAGTCCTGACACCTTTTTGTCGAGTTCAAAATCGCCTAATTTAAAGCCAATCAGGGAATTTTATGCTCATTTGCGTTTTTAGTCTTGTTTTTGCAAATAATTATTAAGAGTTAATGAACATGTTTCAAACTTTCTTATAGGTCGCGATGATTTTCTTTAGGCTCAGTTTCAAATTTACTTTTTGGCGATTTGACTTTGATTTTTTCTTTGACGTTTAATTTAACCGTTGAAAGGAAAGCAAACTCCACTATCGAACAGCGATAGTGTAAAGGTCACGAAAAACGCTGGACTTCTAGTTCCAAAAGCGGAAATAAATTATTGAACTTCCCAGCGAAACAAAAATTTTACCTATTGATCCAGTTTTCTCACATTGGGTTAAATTTTTCAAAAAAGTCAATCATGAATTGTTCTTGAATTTCGGAGAGCTTACAATAATTTTTTTTCGTTGAATTCTAAAATTTTTTATGTTTACTTGCGTTCATTGACTCCTTTCCAACTGTCTGTTTGCTATGTTTTAACCAACTTATCTTTTTAACCCACCTTGTCCTCCAAAAATTGGAATAATTTAATTAAATAATCTTGTACGATAGCATTTAATGAATAAAAATTCATTTTACATTAAGCAGCCTTTCTCCACATCAAAACTTAATGGACCACTTGGTCGCTTAAGTTTTGTTTGTGGTTTGGAGAATGACATCCTGTTGAAGTAGAAACGATTAAAAAAACACCATTGATCAAAATATATATGAAAACATACCAAAGCCCTAACATTTAATAAAATGGTGAAATTTCTGGCGAAAAGAACAAGTCGCTAAACCATTATCAATTTTTACAACTGAATGTAGTGAAAATAAATTTGGTTTAAAATGAAAATGGTTCGAAAACATATCAAACCCTAGCGTTCATTAAAACGGTGAAATTTTTACCGAAAAGAACTTAAGTCGCTAAACCAGTATCAATTGTTGAGTACTGAATGTAGTGAAAATAATTTAGTTGAGAATGAAAATGGTTCGAAAAATTGAACTGCAGTTTTTAGTTCCAAGTGCTGGTTTGCTTTTACAATTGCATTTCAAATTTTATGGGACATTCGAGCTTTAGTGAGCAGTGTATTATTGGTACGACTATTCTTTTGTTTCCAGTCTAAGTCGCCAACTTTGGTGCCAATTATAGTGGCACCTTTACGGCTTTTTGATAGCATGTGCTTTGACATTCGATTAGTAAAAAGTTAACACAGTTGATGAAATTTTTGTTCATCAAATGAATCGGAAATAGCTTTTTGTTTCAAATAACAGTACAGTAATAAAATTTTGATTTCAGAAATTTTCCAACTCAATGTATCTCGCAATATTTTTGAAGTGCATAATTTATACATAGTTTGCCTTTTTGCTTTCCAATTTATTACATGCAAATTTAGTGTATATTCGTTTATTTTGTTATATTCCAATTTGTTACATGTCTATTTGTATTTGGTATATTTTTAGCTGGATCGCATATGTAGCTCTTTTGTTCATAATTTATTAGCATATGTAGCTCTTTTATTCTGAGAGAGTGTTAATAAATTGTCAAGTACCTGTGGCGGAAATGCGAGGACAGGGGACTCTAAATGTCCTGGTTGTAACATCGAGTACCGCGACAGCAAAAGTTTAATTTTCAACGATTATTTATACTTTTTGTTTTCTTATTCAACTTTATGAGCCCTTTTTTATCCTTTTCTAGCTAGTGTTTGCGAAGCGCAGCTTCGCCTCTGTGTTAATCCTTAAATTATGCTTTAACTCAAAAAATGTCAAACTAGGTTGTTTTCACCCCTGCGTTAATCCTAGGTGTTACAAACGGGTACTAGACTGCTTTCCTGAAAATATCTTAGTTTAAAGAATGACCAAAAATGTATATGAGAATGTTACTCATGTACCACCTAAATGAACCAAGTATATAAAGCTCGTACATGCTTGCTATATAGGCGGTACATGCAAGACCTTGCAATGTGCGGTTTCTTGGTGCTTTCAGGTACTTTCGTTTAATTTTCAGCTTTTTGGGTGTCGGCCTAATATCTGTCCTAATTTGACCTGTTTTTTTATTCGATCAAGCTCTGGTCATCATTTAATCTTAATTAAACTCTGACATTATAGTTCGACAACTTTAAAACAAACTATCTGGCTGTCGCTGAAAAACTAGAAAGTTTGTTTTTTGCGCCGTTTTGACCCTGTCACAATGTTAGCTTTGTTCGATTTTGCTCGTTACTTCTTGATAGCATGCCATTTTTGACATTCTTATGCGCATTTTATGCGCATTTTTATTGGTACAAATTTGATCCGTTCTCTATCAGCAGATTTTTTTTTATATTGGTTTCAGTTTTGTCAAGACTATAGTTTTTCGAAAGGATAAAAGTTTCGAGTTAGAAATTGGGATTTAGGAAGATTTTGAGAATTCATGTTTTCAGAATCTCAATTTAGTTGTTCTTGTTGTTTTTTCCTTTTAAATTTGTTGCATCCTTTAATTATAGTTTTTTTATTCAATCTCCAGCAGTGTAATTACAATTCACATTTTTGAGTTTCAAACACCAAAAGTTGATAAAATTGGAGTAGTTTTCACTTTTGGGCGCCATGGCTTGCGGTTACTTTGTTTGGACTTAGTTTCTAGCAACTATTTTTCAAAACTAATTTTTTATTTTTCAATTTTGACCTGACAATTTTTTTTTTGTCTACAAAGACATTTGGCGAGTCTAAATTTTGTAGCATGCGATAAGCAATCATTATCAGATGGAGACATCGACTTTGTTCAGGACAACATCCTGTTTATCATTTTGAAAAAGGCCTAGTGTTCGAGTCGGCAATAGTGTTCTTGGCCACGGAAATTTCGGCTTTTAAAATGTTTTTCTCTTCTATCGTATATCTGCTTATTTTTATCGGGCTAGTCTTGAGCGTGCTCTTTCAGTTTACTTGAAAATTTAGCTGTATTTAGCTGTAATAGTGCAGGTAACTGAGCTCTAAGATTTTGTGTCGTTTAAATGTAGTGTCGGTGCTACTTAAGATGTTAGAGCTATAAGGTAATTTGGCGTTATTGTATTTGTTCCGTCGTTTCAGATTTGTTTTTGTTATATCAGCCGGAATTGAGCCGACCAATTCCTTTGTAGCTTTTAGACAAGGTGAAGTTTTATATCAGATGGTAACTTGTTGTCACTGCATATTGTATGATGGAAGCGTATGACAATGAGATGGAGATATCAACTAGTAGTGTGGGTGATGTGAGTTCCTTTGAGACTCAAAAGGGCTGCGATGCCATCTCAGCCGGCGACAGGTAAGCAGTGAGCTAGTATTACTTCACACCATACATGAGTTTCTGTATAAATAAACATTCATTTCAAAGTACGATTCAATTGTGAGTTATAAACTTGTAGTAAACTATTGTTCTTTCTTGAGAGGGAGGGGTATAATGTTTACCCACCACAGCGACTATGAACGAGAGAAATAAATATCGAATCTGAACTAACGTATTCTATTTTTCCAATGCACAGGTGCACAGTGCGAATGTCTAGTCCAGTGTGCAAGAGACTGGGAATTGAGAAGGAGGGTGTGGCTCAGTTGCCATGTGACCAGAGAGAGTTGATGCCAGTGGGTGGGTCCACACCCACCAAACAGGGGATGGCAGTCACAGCTCAGATGCAGATGCAGCACCAACAGGGACATAATCATTATGGAACCGCTACTCAGTGTAATGGAGGGGGTAATAGAATGCCAACAGGTTATTGAACTAGCTTATTAATTCCGTTATTTAGTCATGCATTTAAAAGATCGCGTTATTTATCGCGAGGGGAAAGAGGGAGCGTTTTTCGCAAATTTTCAAAATTTCAACTTGTCTATGCCAAGCAATTGACTTCTGCGCTCTCTCAAAACAATAAAAAGATCCCATTTTGCCAAATATTTTAGTGCTGCAGGCCTATTTTGAGAACAATTTTTTGGGAAGGTATAGGATTTTTTCAGGTGGGTGGCCAGGGAGTGATATTGCTGGGCGACTTTGGATAACCCTGATTGACGCTTATATTTATGTTATTCGCATCAACATTTCAGCCTCAAAACTGCTGTCAAATAACTGATCAAGTCTAGATATTGCAGCGTAGTCGTGGTTCTGAGCAGCAGTGGCCGAGTGGGTTAGGCACACGTCGCTCATCACGAGGGTCATGCGTTTGAATCCCACTTCGGTCACGGCTGGAGGGTTCACAGTGTCATCCACCTCCTCAATGTGGGACGGCGAAATGGATGACATCTCCCTCCCCCATGGTTGATCCTGCAGAGAGCACCAATAAAAATATTTCTGTGAACTTGAAATACTTTAATTTTCGGATAGCCGCTTTGAAGTTTCGATTTTGAATTATTGAGTATCATTGTGTTAATGTATCGGCAATAATTTTAGTGGTGTTGATGAAAATTTTTTCTAGGTCAAGACTCTGAAAACGCGATCAATGCTTCCCAGCAAAGCGCGATCTACAACATGATCTCAAAGTTCTTCGGACTAAGTGTCCGAAACAAGTGCGAATCAGGAGCTCACGGCGGGGGATTACCAAACCATCGCAACCAGAAATCAACTGACAACAACCTTCTTAAGAATGGTCGAGGTGAGCATATAGAGCAGAGTATGTCGTAGTATCACAGTTTCTCCTGTTTTCTTCCTTATTTTAACAAGGCATTGATTTTAATATCCGATTTTAGTATATAGCGTTTCAAGTCTTTTCAAAGTATTTTTCTGTACTGTGTGATTCATAAAAGGGTTCATCTTTTATGGAGGTATTGACTTTTTTCATGAAGAAGTCTGAAATTTTATTTGAATTAAGTTCAAAATTCAAATTCATTACTAAATAGTAGGCAAAGTGCCATCTGCTTTATTTCGATTTTGATTTTTCGCGTGGGGTCATTTCGTCGTTAATGTTTAATGATAATTTTTAGGCTTCATGGTTGTCGATTTGAGAGCTATCGGCTTAGTTTGTGAATTTTTAATTTGGATTATTTATCTACGTGATTTTCTACAATAGCGTATAACAACATTGAAAAGTTTTTTATATACTTTTTTAATCGGCTTTTGAGTATTCGGCTATAAAAATGTCGGCTTAGTTCCTCTATATATCAAAATTAACTATCGTGTGCTGCACACTTTGACTAGAGCGACAAACACCAGGACCTGTTTGCTTGCAAACTCAAAAAAACGTCTGTCGATTGTTTGTCTGATAACTTTTTTGTCGGTTAAGTTGTCACATTGCGGGCTTTTATTGTGATTTAAACAGTTTTCGCATAATTAACAGCCTTTTTTCATCTGTTTCTGTAATTTCTAAGCGTATCAAAACTCTGATTGTATCTAATTTACTTACTATATTTTTGTCGTTTTTTTTTCGTTTAAAATCTTTATTCGTCCCAAACGTTTCGGCCTGTATTATGTCGGCTGAATAATTTAATTTTACTATTGCGTTTGAAAGGAAAATATGTTTTAATTTCTTTTGTGCTTCCGAGATTAGGAGGGGGTATAAATTTTGATTTTTCAAACCTTATAGCTCAAAAGTTTTTCGTGCCATCAAATTCGTTTTTGGTTTAACGGGCGTCTGTCCAAGTATTTTTGGCTTTGTTGCCTTGAATTTTTCTCAACGCTATTTTGACGCCAACGATTTTGTTTCTCGACATGTGTTTGTCTCAAATCGAAGCTCTTTTTAGACCAATGTATGTAATTTTTCAATATTTTTGTTCATTTTTTTGTCTACTTGTCATTTTCTGTTTGCTAGCCTTGCAATGATGTTTTTGTGTGGCATCTCAAGTGATGCAAAGTTTTGCTTCCCCTCTGTGTAACACGTGTAATTGGCAGATTAAATCGTCTAAATTGAATTGAGGAAAGTCATTTAGTCCTATTATGAAGATAAGAGACGCTACATGCAGCTCTTCGAACTTAACAGTGTGTGTGGAGGTGATAAAACAAAGAAAACATGAAAAAAAATCTAAGCTTTTACTGGCTTTAAAGTGCAATCGAAACATTCAGGGTTTTGCCTTGAATGTTTCAACCAAAGTTTTTTTTCACTGGCTCTAAAGTGCAATCGAAATATTCAGGGCTTTGCCTTGATATACGCGCAGTCTTGTTCGGATTTAGTCAATAACGTGTCTGGTTTTCTTTTTTAAAAAATTTAAATGCTTTTTTCAATTCGAACATTTCTCTATTGAGTTTTTTTATCGATTATGCTTGAGTTCTCATGGTTTCATACGAATTTTATTACTTTCTGTATCACAAGTATTTGAAATTTCCGTTATGTGTATTGTGAAGATCCGATGGTCTATTGATAAAGTGGAGTCGAGATTTTGCAACGAGACAGGCGCTGATATCCTGCGCTGCTTATGTTAATTTGTGAAAAGGAAGATAAAGCTTTTTATTTTTCTTTCTGAAAAATACAAAATGTATCAAACAGTCAGAAGAACATGCAAAATATAGGGTGGGTGCAAAAAATCTGAACGCATTTTTTTAAGGAGAAATGAAATGTATCACAGAAAAAAGCATTTGGCTGACACACTCAAAGTTTTGAGCTGATAATCATAGGTTAGATTTTGTATGGTTACTAATGGTGCATCGTAATGTCTCTGAGTATCAAAGTTTGTTTAGCATGGTTTTTTGGAATAACCTTTTTTCAAGGACAAAGCGATCATTCTTAGAACTTAAGTTGCAATTTTTTATACGAAGGGAAATCTATCTATCTATTTCTATCTATCTATGCTATATTTAAATGCGTGTGACAGCTATCTACCATGTTTAAGCATAATAATTTTGCATGTTTAACGAAAGAATTTTTTCACGCTTAAGCTATATCATATATTGCAATGCTTAAGAAAGTTTTTGATGAACTTTCCGCAAGGTCATTAATTTATCAGAAATTTTTCAAAAAAAATACCTTTTTTTGTTTAGAAAACTTAAGGTTGAAGTTTCTCAAAATTTGAATTTCGCAACGTTGTAGTTGCGTACTCTGAGAATATTCTCAGGAGTTGCAAATCTTGCGGCCAAATGCGACTGCTCAATTGCTTCTAGTTTAAAAAAAAAACAATTTTTCCCATGGAAATTTTTTAGGTGATCGAGGAATGCGTGGGGATGATGACGATGACAACAGTAGCTGTGGCAGTGCAAGTGTCTGCATGGGTGATTTGGAAGAGACTTTGCGGCTCATTCTAGACAAGTTGCTGCAACTGGTTGACTTGCCGTTTCTGGAGAACACAATAGAGTACTTGGCTAATGGCGAAAACAACAGTGTCGAAAACTATCACCATTTGTTCACGTTTTCAAGGCTAGTAGATTGATTTGTCAGTATTTTTACAGTGACTTGCTAAATGTCACTGAACTAAGCGAATTTCCAATTATTTTAGTTTTCAAGCTGATTTCAGTAGGTGTTTTAGGATCTATTTTTTCAGTATTTTTTCTGCAAAAGGATTCATTCTGAATCTACTTAACAATCTCCACCCCTTTCAAGAAGGGGGGTTGTTAAGTAGATCAAAATGGTCGATTTTTCGACCAATCAGAATGCAGCAAATTTAGAATTCTCAATAGAAAGCTCGGCGATAATTTACTGTATTTATTTATACGGGTGGAGATTCTTAAGTAGGTACCATAGGGGGGGGGGGGGGGAGATTGTTAAGTAGATCCTTTTTTCTTTTCTGTATTAAAATTATGTTGTAGTGTATTTCGTGGGGGATTTCAAAAATCATAATTTTTCGCTTTATTATTATTAAAGCCCGTTTTTTCAGTTTCTAAAGCATGAGATGTTAAGTCTCAGTTGTTTAGTTTGCCTTGAAGATGTAAATTGTTGGTTGATCCCCCAGTATTAATTTAAAAATTATATTTTGTGGCATTTTCGTTATTCATTGCATTTTATGCTTCCTTTTTGTCTGTTTTGTGTTAATCTGTTTTCGAATGCATTTATTGTCATCTCCAGATTAGACGGTGAAATAATCTGACCAATTTATCTCGGCACAAAATATTGTTGAAATATCTTTTTCGAATCAAAATCAGGATTTTCAGTGTGATTTTACTCGCGATAACTTACAACCTATCTTTGAGGTACCTGAATCGCTTGAGAAAAAAAGCAAATTTGAGAGTGGCGCAAACAATAACAAGAAGGAAACTGGAATTGTCGAATATTGGCATACCATAGCTGTTCTGTGCTTCCCAAAGATTACAAACTATGTGTTCTTTTTTTCAGTAGTCTCAGTTCTCTCAGTTTGAGTGGAAGTGAAGAGAGTGTGAACTCTTTCGGAAGCTCGACCTCCTCTTCCTCTCCTTCCCCCTCTCCTTCCCCCTCCCCCTGCTCAACGCCTGCAGTGTCACTCCGCTCATCTACTTCAACTATGAACAACAACAACAACAACAATAAACAGTGATGACCATCATTGGGACAATTAAAGACTGTATACCACCGCTATGTGCTAGAGGTGCAGATCCAAAGGCCGGTAGTTTTTAACGCAAGGAGTAAATAAAAAAATCAAGTTGATCTTTTTCCAAAGAAAAATTTTGCAGCTTGTGTAGAAAAAGGTTAATTGATTTTTAAATTAATTAAATCAGAAAAAAGCACTTTGTTTTAAGTTATTTCAAGTTAGATAATTAAAATGGTCATCATTTGGCAACAAAAAACAACAGTCGTAGCATGACCGCGAGACATAGTCAACGAAGTTCAAAACGACAGCAAAACAACATCAGCAATCTTCAGTTCAACAGGGTAGTGTTCCCGTGTCTGAAGTTTCACCCCAGTATCTCTTCACTCGTCCCAACTAGCACTCCCCTAGGTACAAATATGAAAAATGGGTCCCTGAATTTACAAAAGTGAAATAACGTACTGAAACACAGATTTGAATCGTAAACCACGTCAATAACAGTTGAATATATTGTACTATAGCTTCTATCACAGAATCAAGTTAATGATCTACTTTTTTGGGAGAGGGAATGTGTTGTTGTAATCAACAGATTAGTGGTTCGAAGCCCAACAAAATTGCTGTTGGGCAGGAACTGCTTTCTGAACAAGCCTCAATGATCAATCTGTCAAACTGATCAGCTCGTATGTTAATCTTTTCATTTGTGTATTAAATTGCTGACTTGCGAAAGACTTTTTTCAGTAAGGAATAAATTTCAGGGACCCATGGATTGTAATTATACCTATATCAACTCTAGCACCAGACCACAAAAAATCACTGTCTAACTTGGTCTTGACAAATTGCAAGGAAAGTCCCCTGATCCCCCCAAAATTAGCCGAACTATGTCTAGCAGTGGATGCGTACATTACAAGTATAGTTGTCGAAGCAGGGGATAATAAGTTACCAGACTTGGAAGAGACGGCTATTGATACTGCGTTCTTGTTTGTGACATTACTGCATTATGAATGCAGACAACGCTTGATTAACTTGATATCATTTTTGCAACACTTGGTGGAGTTTGAATCTGAATCAGTCCAACTTGGAGGGCTGCATATTGAAGAGTTTGCACAGTGTTTTGTTCCAGAACAAGAATGTCGGTCGCTTTTGAAGGTAAATCGTCGATTTGATGTGCGCTATTTTAATAATCAGTTTTTAATAGCAACTCGAAAATCACAAAAGTCTATATTCTAGAAACCGTTAACATGAAGTTTTTTAAGAGTAATGAACATAGTAAGTACTCTTATATAGGTCTTGCTGATTTTTTTCTTTTTTCAGGAAAAAGTCTTACTTAGTTCACGCTCAATTTTGATTTTTCGCGGTTTGACTTGTGATTTCTTTTTAAGCTCAGTGCACTTCCATTGTTAAAAGGAAGGCAAACTCCATTATCGTACTGCAAAAGTCTAAAAGTCACGAAAAACGTGATCGACTTCGATTTCGAAAACGGAAATTAATTATGAGATTTCGCAGCGAAATAAAAGTTTTACATATTGGTCCAGTTTTCTCAAATTGGGTTAATTTTAAAAAAAAGTGTCCGTCATAAATTGTTCGCCAAATTCAAAGATCTTTAAGGCCACCTATTTTTTTTCTTCGAAATTCAAAAGTTGTTCAGAATTACCAGTGGAATAAAAAATCACCTTTTGACCCAGTTTCTTCTAATTGGGTTACTTTCATTAGACAAGAGTCAATAGAAAGATGCTTGAAATGAAAAGATGTTTAATGTGGTATATTTTCAAATGGTAGTTAACGCAGTGAAGACGTTCTTATAGGTCGTGTTGATTTTTTATTATTAAGTGTAAAATAGCGAAGTGATTTTTTATATAGGTTTTGATGTTTTTTGTTTGTTTTTTTTAAGAGAAAAGTCCTGAATTTTGCTGACGCTCAACTTTTTTTTGCGGTTTGACTCATGATTTGTTTTGAAATTCACAACATTTTTAAATGAAGGCAAATTCGACTATCGTATCCATTAAAGGTGAAAAAGTTTGGAAAAACGTGAGTGATTTCTAGTTTCAGAAATGGATTTCAATTTTCTGAATTCCCAGCGAATGAAAAGTTTACCTTTTGATACAGTTTTTTCTAAATGGAATAACTTTTTAAAATGCCAATCATAGAAAAAGTTTTTTTTGTAACACAAAAAGCTTCAAGGTGATGTATTTCGAATTTCTTCGAAAAATGTTCTAGAGTCGATGAAAGTAGTTCCGGCTTTTATATAGGTCGTGGAAATTTTTTTTTCTTTCAAGTATCAAGTTATAAAAATTGTTCTGGCCAAATTTGGTTTTTGCTTCTTGACTGATGTTTTTTAAGCTCAAATTAAATTGAGTAGCACAGAATTTTCCGACCATAGTCGTAAAAAATGCATTTTTTTTTTAATTAGTGTCGTTTTTGCTGCGTAGTGTGATAAAATATTTGAACGAAAAGAAATAGAAATTAAGCATAATCGACATTCATAGTAAAAAAGGGCCAATTGGAAATTAATTTGTCTGGAAAAACTGAAAAAATGTTTAAAATATTCAAAAACTTTTCAAAAAAATTTTCAAATTTTTGTTCAGAAAGTTCTTGAATTTTGAAGTTTTTGATTCCCAAATTGGCGCTAAAAACTCCAAAAACTAACTTTAATCGAGGTTAACTAAGTTTTTACGGCTTAAATTATGCGTAAATCAGCTTTTGTAAGCCTGCTTAGCCTCACCATAGTAATTAGACCAAAAATCACAAATATCAACTGGTTTTTCTCGACACAGAAAAACATTTTTATGATATTCGAAATTATAAATTGCTTTTTTAAAATCAAAATATGGTTGGGGAAGATCTAAGACATGCATTTTTGTGCGTTTCAGGAATCAAGGCTTTAATATGATATATCACTCGACCCATTCCGATGATTATTTGTGGTACCTGATTTTGCGTGGAAAACAAAAAAATGAAAAAAAAAACTGGTCGGAACAAAAAATTTTGCTCTCTGTTTACGAAAGAGCAAATGAAGCAAAGCTTTAATTAGCCGTGACGTAGGTTCGAGTCCCTTAGGGATTTTTTGTCCTGTCATATGTTAGATTATTTTAACTTTTCTTGGATTTTTGCTATTTTTTGCTTGTTTTTTCGAAGTGCAGATTTGCCTCATAATGCACTGTTATCAAATTAGATTGAATTTATCAAAAAAATCGATCATAAAAGATTATTGAAATACAGGTGATACATTTTTCCTTGAAAGCTCGAAAGCTGAAAATATAATTCCGGTCATTTTTTTCGGTCTCCTTGAATTCATTGACACTTCGCCAACTGATTTTGGGCTATGTTTAAATTTTGCATTCACTGTATTTGTTAAGGTTATAAAACTTTTAAAATATTACAAGAATAATTTGAAAGTTTGTGGTTTCTTACTGTCTAAATCCTGTTATATTATGGAAACGTGAAAATGCTGAATTTTTAATTTCTTTTTAGCTTCTGATTGAAAAAAGTAGCCAAATTTTTGTGCCGTGGGCCAGTTACAATATGCTAATGCTATCCGGTCTTCACAAAACCATGGAGAGAAGAACATTTTCAAAGCGCATTTCAGTTCAACAGTTCCACCAGCAGAAAAGAGACAATACGACCGACGAGTTGATGTCTCTGCTTGATTTTGTACTGGGGGATACATCGACCTTGACTGCCCGTCAGAAGGACAAGTTATTGGGGGCCGTGCAGAGTAAACACCCAGAAGTATATGGACTGTACTTGTCGCGCAGGATTGGGACCAACAATTAAACCAGTTTTATCAGCGTTCAAACTGTTAAAAAGTACTCAACAACTTTTAACTTCATAAATAGTAAATATGAAGTTTCCAATTCATAAGCAATAATATTACTTTCTGAGAAATTTCAAGTTCAAAAATAGCATTATTATCAGCGATTCAAAATAGCCTTTTCTATCATATTTCAGGGAGAGAAGCCTACTACTAAATGAATTGATTCATTGAGTTTTATGCGACGATAGATACGAGAATAATCGAAAGTTTTTCAAACATTTCAATTTGATAATTTTTCCTATTCAACCTATATTTGAAAAAAATGACACCAGCCAAAATCAAATTATTTGCTCATGATTTTTGAAAATAATGATGTAAAAAGTGCTTGTAGGAATGTAACTCTTCGTTCCTGATGATTTTTGTTCCAGTATGAAGCTAAACTATAAATTGTTCAGTAATTATTGTATAAAATTTTTGTTGATCATTTGCGTGATTTGATTTTTGATCTGATTAATTTATTTGAATTAATACGACTTAATGAAGTCTTGCGTTATGTGCTTTTGCCAGTTGAAACATTCAATTCAAATTAGTTAGAAAATTAATTCAAATTTTTTGAAGTTAATTTTCATTCATCTCAGTATTGGGGTACTGTGGTTTGCAAAAAATGGGAAAAAAAGCTAGACTTGATATTTTTTTGAAATCAAGTTGATAATTATATAATTTACCTGGCGTTCCGCCTCCTCAGTGCAAAGCAAATTTAAGAAGAAAATGCCAGCCATAGTCGAGGTCCGGACTCTTTATTTAAAAAGATCAACCATTCTGTGTTTGCCTGAAAACTGTTTCGAAAGCATGTTTTTTGTAATTCATTTTTTTAAACTTCCCTAATCTGAATATAAACTCTATTGATTTGCCGCAGGTTAGATGTTTTCAAAATCTTCAATTTGTTGCAATATTTTTTTCTGCTCATAACAATGATACTTTTTTCAAATACCAGCTTCCAAGTGTAGCGTCAAAGATCAGTCAACTCTATTTCCTACATAAGTTGCCAATTTTAGTGCACAGTAATGTTTTTGTTATATCAGTATGTTTTGGCAGTTCTATCAGTGTCCGTGTTTATCAAAATACATCAGTTTTGCCTGATATCGGGGTGTATTCTCATGATGGAGGGATCGCATGATGGAAAACTTCAACCAATCAGACTCGTTAGAGGTTCCGATTGGCTAATCGACTTTGCACATAACTGAAGTCTTTATTAACATAAAATGCGTTATAGCGGCAGAGCAAAGTTTTGCTGGCCAATTTGTGCGAATAAACAATAAGTTTTTGGTTCTATTGTTCATTTTTTTTAAAAAGTGTCTGAGGTTTTTTTTTCCAATTCCCGAATTCGATTTCGCAATATTAAAAATTCATGCATGTGCTTTTTTCTAATCAGTCACAAAACGTTTTAAAGGCCTGTGAATTTTAATGTGAATTTTTGCGTTTTATTTGAGATTTTTAATACTCAATTCTGATTGGCTGAAAAAAATCTAACAATGGGTCCTCATCATAAAGGACGCCACCCCTAATATCGATGAAAAAGCTAAGTGTGAAAGTAGGTTGCTCAAAGTCAACTTCGTTAAGGTTTAATGCAAGTGAGATTTAATCGGGTTGCCTGTGTTAAACTGAACACTCGGAGACTTTTATTTTGATTATATATATTTAAGGCTTCTGACCTCAATTTTTTGCTGTTCTTAGCAAAACGTCACTGGTGACGGCCTCTAGCAGCAAGCAGCCTCAAGTTGTCATGCCATTTATTGAACAATTTCTTGCTTGTGCTGGTTGAGTGAAGCTTTGCAGAATGCTGACGCAGTCTTGTTACTCGAAGGATTGCAAAAAAAAAAAGAAAAAACAGATCGGGTTGCGTTGTAAAGATATTTCCCCTGTGATCATTTTTCGTAAAGCTATGAGGGTTTAAATATTGCCATTTTGACCAATTTGGGACAATTAACGCGCGATATAATTCGCGCTATTATCGCGTAAGCGGAGATTTAATCCGTCTTAGAAATCGTTCCAAATTGGTTGAAAGAAGCTTATTTGCCATAATTGATTTGTTACAAGGAACGAAATCTATCCTTTTGTGCTTTATATGGCGTGTGGGGGGATGATTTTTATTTTAAAAATTTCAATTTTTTGAAAAAAAATTTCATTTTGTTTTATTACATTTAATTTTTTAATGTTATTACTTCTCCATAAACCTTAAAAGGCAGTCGGAACATTCAGGGCTTCGCCCTGATTTGAGTAGTCTTGTTACTTTTAAGACTTGAGTTAGAAAAAAGTTATAGGACAAGGATACAGTTTATTAAGGCTTCAAGTGGAGCATAACATTAACAGCAGTAGTAAAGAATAGACAAATTATTAATTAATTGGAATTACAAGTAGATCAAATTAGTATCGACATCCCAGGACATTAAAATCAAGTAGTGTTTGAAACTGCATTTGAAATCATTCTTTGCATTAGTTGCTTGTTTTTCTCTGTTTATTTTTCTTTCTCGTTAGATTCGTTTTTTATCGCTGGTCTTCTGGGAGGACGTATGGGTCGTGTCGGATCAAACCAGAGTCTTCAATGGTGACGAGTTTTTTGGGCATCTGGCCATTCTCAGTTGTCTCTAGCTCGGCAACTTCCAAAATGTGTTCCTGTAACGAATCGGCTAATTAATACCACAATGAGAAACTGCTAATTTAAGGTCATACTGACTGACCAAGAGCTCTCGAGTTAATTTCTGCTACCAATTAAAATTCTTTATATGTAGTTGTTTCACTATTCCGTCACACGCGCACTTTCAGTACGTTTGGCCAAGTGATCAATTTGATGACATCAAATTTCAATCTTATACACTGACGATTAGAAAAAGATGTTGCAATTAGCATACTGACCATTCCTTCGATGATCTTTCCGAAGACAACGTGTTTGCCGTCCAACCATCTGGCTCTCTGTAGAAGAATGAAGAACTGGCTTCCGTTAGTATCTGGTCCTAAAATAAAATTCATTCAATTTAGGACCATTTATTTTTGAGGAAAAGAAACGCTATATTTTTTTGAGTTTCTTCAGTCCGTTATGGAGCAGCACGAATCAATCCTCGAAAATTTTAGGACGTTTTGGGGCACTTTTTCAGAGTAGCCAAAAACAATGTTTGTAGGTTTCAATCCCGAGTTTCAACAGCAGGTAAACGTGATGAGCTCTCTTAGTACAAATATACAGCCTTTTATTAATATCTTTTTAATATCTTTTTATTAATAATAATATCTTTTATTAATATCTTTTTATTGATAATCTTATGTGGGTATTCTTCCCTATCCTTACCCCTGTTGGCCATGGACAAGTATCCGGTTCCCACGTGTGAGTGGTAGAATGGCTCGTCGTTGAACGAGGGTCCGTAGATGCTCTTGCCTCCACTTCCATCCTCGGTCGTGATGTCTCCCCCTTGGATCACAAAGTCCTTCACAATCTTGTGGAACTTAGTGCCCTTGAAGCCGAATTTGGGCTGAAACGAAACAAAAAATAAGGTAGCTTGAATTAACCATTTTGTCGCAAATATTAAGATTTAAATTGTGAAATAAGTGAACGAGAAGAGTTGATAAAAGTGTATCGTTGGCTACTAAATAAAATTGAATAAATGCTTTTTATTTGAGAAAAGCTCGGTTTTGAAACTTTTTTTTCTGTGAAAAATTTTTTTTGAAGAAGCTATACTTTAAAACATCAACATCCAATTGTAAAGGAAGTAAGTTTTCAAACTTAGTAAAATATTTCAAAAGAAATTTAAATACTTTTATAATTTATAAGAAACTTTTTCTTCGATGAAAAACCTCTTTTTTCTTTCAGTTTTGTTTTTTAAGAAGTACTCACGTCGCCTCTGTAATTGCCTTTAGACAGAGCTGCGAAGTTGTTGACAGTGTTGGGAGCTGCATCTCCGAAAAGAGCAATAGTCACTCTCTTGGGTTCATTCATGTCAATTGAGATGTCGAAAAAGACTGTCTTGGTGACCATCCACTTTTCATCATCAGGAATGTCATCTTTGTCTTCTTTTTCGCCCCTCTTTTGCCCACTCACGTGACCAATCAAAGCCGCGACTAATACGAGCGACGTGAACAATGTGAACACAATTTGGTTCATGGTTGAAAACTATTTTTGGCAATTTTTGTCACAGTTTTTCTTTTTTTTCCAAAGAAAAAATGAAGAACAGAGTTGTTGTTTTTTGCGGTTCTGAGTTACAAGAGGCGAGCTGGTCTAGTGATGTTGAAGATTTAACTCCCGTGACTTGAGTTAAAACTGCAAAGTGGCAAACTACGTATTATTTATCTAAGACCACTTGCGTGCCACAAAGTGCCACGAACTTTTTTAAGGGAGAGTGGGGGGGGGGGGGGGGTATGCGTTGATGTTGCGCAAACTATGCCACGTTGCATAATCCACGTTAACAAAAATTGTGCCATTTACACTTACTCTTGTTGAAACAACTTGTGTTATTTACTTAAGTTATTAGAAAAAAATGACGACTTGACCATTTTGGCGACAGCTTCGGAAGCACTTGTACGCAATGTGAGATTTTAATAGGGCTGTTGATAAGTAATTTAGAGTGCAAATGAAGTGAGTAATTGTGAAAACAAAAAGCATAATTACTTTTGTTCTTTTTGATCTCTGAGATTCGAAAGATGACACGATGCCACGTTGCGCTTTTTAATATGGTACGAACTTAAGTGACAACGTTTTATTGCCCCGCCCCGCATCGCTTTACTTGTACATCAAACTATCGTAAAAAACTCCACGCAAAATAAACAAGAAAGGCCAGTGTTTGCGCAATTAGCACAGAATGTTCCGACCACTTACGTCTCCAAAAAAGGTTATTATTCCTCGTGCGAGAGAGCAGAGGTGAAAAAAGGATCTCAAGTGTTTTGAAAGGAGAGGCCACTTTTTTTCTGATGAAATTGTCATGAAAACTTCGCTTATAATTGTATGTCGGTTAAACTGGCCATTTTACTTAAAAAAATAGTGTTTCTGACTGTAAAACAAGTGCAGACTATTTATGGTTGGGTTTGTTTTTTCATTCAGTCAGTTTTCGATTTTTAACAGCGTTTTCGGCAAAAGTATTATACCATTTAAAAGATATTGCTGTTCGGAGTTCAAATGTAATAAAAATGTCTAGCAACTTATGTATTATTATGGGGTTTTGAAAATCGCTAATTTGTCCAATTTGAGATAATTAATGCGCGTAGTCATGTGTTCTTGTAACATGCAAAAACGGATGTGTTTAAATCTTTGCGAACTGAAGTGACGGTAGAAATTTGATACGCGAAAATAAATATATCTTTTCGTATACTAAAACAATGAAAGGTTTTTCTTTTTTTTATCATTTCAGCAGTTTCAAAGGGCAGAATCATTTCTCCTGCAACCGCTTATGATATTATCTGATGTCTGAGAACTCAAAAAATATGTATGAGACGATTTCAGAAAATATGTAAAAGACCTTGCATGAAAAAGGCAAACTCATGGGAAAAACGCCCTACCTTTTCAACAATTTTTTAATGAATATGGGAATAATTTTTTCAGAAACATAATTGTAACGCTACTTTAAGTTATTCACACTAGGGTGTGTATTTTGCTATACATCATGGTTTGTTCTGAAGAATTGGTGACTCTGTTTGACCATTTACGTATATCAGAAAAAGGTTGTTCGGAGATTTTGATTCATGCAAAAAAGGGAAGAAAAATCTGTGTAAATTATTGCTGCTCGCATCCTTGCTGCTCAATCATTGTTTTTTCATCTCTGGTTAGCAAATTCTTTTGTGGTCAGAAAAAAAAACAATTTTTAAGCAGAAATGTTTGGGTTTCAACTGATTGCTTCAAATCTCTTACATCGAAACTATATGTTTGAAATATTTGGGTTTCAACTGATTGCTTCAAATCTCTTACATCGAATCCATAAAATTAAAATGTTTGAGTTGATGATAAAAACGAAATTTTTCCTTACCGCAAAAATTATCTGGAAAATGTATAAGTGTTGCAATTGAAAAAGTTTTCATGAAATGAAACAAGTGCTTTGAAGCTAAACAGTAAAACATCTAATTTAATTTGAAACACGTTGGAAACCAACTTCACTAATGAAAAATTTCATACATCTGTGTTTTTTGGATGGGATCTCAAATCTAGAAAAAAATCTTTTATGACGCATGATGCAATTTGTACGCCAATACAAGAGCCCGACACGCAGTAAACATTGCAGCAAAATCTACAATGGCTACTATAGCAAACACTGAAAATATTTCTGATTGGGCTCAATTTTTCATTTAGAAAAAATTTTTGTCATTAGCAAGTAAATATCAGTTTTAGCTTCTGATATTATCATGCGTTGAAAAATTGGTTGATAAAAAACGTCGCAGTTTAATCTTAAACCTTTTTTTGCAAATGGTTTTAGTTTTTAAAACTGCTTATAGTTTTTTTGTTATTTCGGCCGAGCATTCAAACCCACTGAAGTGTTTAAAAAGTGATTAAAGTTTTTTTTGGAAACGAAAATTGGAGGTCTAAATTGTCTAAATCTATTTTTATTTTAAACACGACTGGTCGTATTAGAGCGAAGCCTTGCATGTTCCGACTGCCTTTTAAAATATATGCAGTAGTGTTTGCTTTAAATACAAAGATCATCCCGCTCACACTATGTAAAGAATACAATGATATCCTTCACATGTAGCAAAGTGTTAACTAGACTAAATAGCATACCTCAGTTTAATTTGGAACGGTTTCTGAGACGGATTAAATCACCGCTTAAGTGTTGATAGCGCGAAATAAATCGCGCGTTGATTTTCTCAAATTGGATTAATTGGCAATCTGTAAGCCACCATTTACTTCAAATTCCATTAAAAAAATGATCACATGTGAATATCTTTTTAAAATTGAGCTCAGGACAACAATATTTTTTGAATGCTCTAAAAAATTCAAAAATTATCGAAATTTGTCTTTTGTCTGGAGAAAAAAAAACTTTTTTCATCAATGGCCCGGTACAGATAAAATTAGTTGCGTTTGAATCGAAGAAAAAAAAATGGTTTCAAAGAAAAGCCTTCTGGATTGCGACAATGTTGTCCCCCATCCTTTATTTTTACGCATGGAGCGGAGAGGTGGGGTGAGGTTAGTATGAATATAAGGATTGCTAGGCGTCGTTTGCTTGTTTGTGACTCGTTTTGAGTTTTCTTACCAATAAAAAAACGTCGCTGTTGAGTGTTGCTCTATCGATACGTGGCGCTTTCACTTATTTCAACATTAGCATTTGATCATTAACTGATGCAATTTTCAGTTTAGTTTACTTAATTTATTAGAAAGTACTCTTAATATATTAAATATAAGTTAAAACAACAAAAATATTAAATCGCTTCACTTGACAATGGTAACATCTTGAATGTTAGCACGTGTTGGTGTTCTCCGAGCTATCGAAAATAAGTTAATTTGATTTTCATATAAATCTCTTCAATTCAATATGTGATGTTTATCATCTCTCAACTAGTTTGCAAACAACCCCCTCCCCCTACAAGAGGATTTACTCGTGGCAAAGGGGGGACTGTTTGCGATGGTGACGTGTTGCCGTGTTGTTGGCAGTACACGCAATGTCTCGTGGGGAGCGGGAGTTAAATTGCAACCTGTGACACGCTGGCATCATCCACATTTTCATCCGGTCCTGATTTTTAGATCTCCACTCTGAGCCAAAACAGTCCACAGTCAAGTAGTCGAGTAGACAGAAAGAGCGCACATAAGCTAGCGTGAAATAACATAATACCATAACACAATAAATTAAAAGGTTAGTAAAGCAGCTTTGATTATTATTTAAAATTTTTTGAGAAAAATTAACAAATTAAATACTGATTTTTTTGCCCGCAAAAGAAACTAACTTTTCAGAAAGAAAAAGTAAGGTCAAATCTGAAAAAGTTAATTACAAAAGAAAATTTTGCGTATCAAGAATAATTTGCAAAAATAATTACATTTTTGATAACTTTTGCTTTTGGCAATTAAAGGACCATATATTCAATTGTTTTTCCTTATTTCAACGCAGTTCCATATATTTATCTTAGGTTCGGTTATTATGTCTGATGTTAAAAAGTAGGATTAGTTTTTAACCGAGTGTGTTTTTGGTTAGAATAATCCTTTGAAAATGAGACAACTTCTCATCTGCATGTTGGGAGTGTTCATCTCGCTGCGTTCGTTCACGCGTGCCGAGATCTACACAGCTGAGGAGCGAAAGAAGATGTTGAAAATGGCTGCCGAAATACCCGACGAGGAAAAGTGGAAGGTAAACAGTTTTATATTTTCTTCTTTTTTTATGTTGATGTCCACTTGGCAAAAGACTAGCAGAGTAGTTTAAATATTCTGAAGATGTATATTAAACATTATCACAAACAATCAATTTTAACAAGGTTTTTTTTCAAAATATTTCATTTTCTTATGTAGCATATAAACGGGTCACATCGTGATGTTGCAAAATGAAATTACTCAATGGGTTTGTCCGCTATACCATCAAAAATTTATGCAATGATTTTATTTTTTATAGGCTAATCTGAACCGCTACTGAGCACCCAAACAAATTACTTGCATCAAGGCACTGCGAAAGTAACTGTATTTTTAAACGTATACCAAATGTTTTCTCTACTGTTTAGGTGACTAAGACTTGTTGGATGGACCTTGAGTTAGACGACAACCCAGTTGGCCGAATTGAGATTGCCCTATTCGGAGAAGTAGCCCCCATAACTGTCAGCAACTTTGCCGCTCTCTGCAAGGGTGCATACAACCACGATGTAAGCATCTTACCCGGAACCTAACAAAATATCATAAAACAAAATATCATAAAACATAAATATCATTAAACAAAATATCATAAAACACATAAATAGTTTTTGAAAAATTTAGGTTCTCAGAAATGTTTACGTAAAATCTTATTTCGCTTAATACTACGATGTAAGCATCAGACATTGGACATAATAAAAAAACAATCGTTTTTCACGGTAAAGTAAAATTCACACATTAATTTTTTAAATATTGCAAAATTATTGGTTCCCAGAAACATTTGATGTGTATGTAAGCTTCTATTTGATAATTTTGACCAAAAGTAATCTGGATGCTGTTGAAATATTGTATCAAACTAAATTGCATCAAGTTCAAAACGAACAATATATATTTTTTATAAAAAAGCGTTTAAACCTAAGGAAACTAAAAGCTAAAGAAAATTGAAAACATTTATTCGATTAAGCGCTTTGTGTTTTAATATCTGTTGATGGATATCATGTCTTATGTCTATTCTGTTTTGTCCCTAGTCCCCAGAAAACATCGTTTTGGACACTGCTTTTCGTGGTTGTTTAAAGTTCTGTAATGTTCTGCCTCTTTCAGCCCAAATTCGGCTACAAGGGATCCAAGTTCCACCGATTCGTGCAGGACTTCGTCATGCAGGCCGGAGACATCACGAACTTCGACGGGACTGGAGGCAGATCTATCTACGGGTCCACACTCGCCGACGAGCCCATAGTACACGGTCACCCCTCAGCCGGGTACGCCACTCTTTAGTTTCTCCAGTTCCTCTGAACCCAGTTAACCTCGTAGCTCTTTTCAGTCAAATGAAACTTGCTGCATGAATTCCAGTTGTTCAGTTTGCGCAAGATACTAGTAATTTCAACCTATAGTATCGCCATGACCGAGAATTCAAAAATGTACCTACTTATATTATGCAGTATTTTGTAAAGGCAAAAAAGAAAACCCCTAAAAAATCCGGAGCTTTGATTTATTTCATAGTATTGTAACAATAAGTCAATTTTATTCATAATAAAGTTAGTCTTTTTTAAAAGAAACTTCATTAAACTGACGCTAGTTAAACTATTATTAACTAAAAAATGGTAAAACTAATAGCTGTTATTATAATTGTAGATACGTAGCGATGGCGCATCTGCTGCAGCCTAACACAGCCACCTCCCAGTTCTACATCACATTCAACTCCGTCAGGTGGTTGGATGGATTCCACGTAGTCTTCGGCAAAGTCATCGACGGACTGGTAAGTCATAGGTCATAAGTCAGAGAACAGACATAATTTTTCCAATGGCTGGGTTATTTTTTTTAAGATGATTATTTATAAAAAGATTGATGACTGTGGACATCTACTGAAACAATTTACTATGCTTGAATTTGAAAAATTTTGGTTAGTTATCTTCGTTTTAGTCATGTGCTGATATAAATCAGAGGTAAAGTGTATTGTATCAACTGGCCTGGTACAATTGACCGAATTAGTATTCAATAAAAAACAGTTGGCCAACTGTTACAATATACACTCTTGATTTATATGAGCACAATGGGTGATATGGGGTGCAACTAGCCGAAATTTGTGAAAATGCTACTTAGGTCGTTGAAGTATCCTAGTTATGAATGATTTATAATTCAGTCTTACTAAACAACTTTTCAAATTTTAAAGGTCATTGTTGACGACATGGTTCAAGAAAAAAATCTAACATCAAAAACCACCAGAAATGACACGTTTTTTCAAAAGTATTTTTTTCTGGATTTTTCACTGCCATATTTTGTCCAAATTACTTTTTCTGAAATATTTATCTGTTCTGTTTAGGACGTTTTGGAGAAATTGAACAACAAAGTGCAGACGAACAAGGAACAAGTTCCACTAAAGGAGTTGGTGATCGCCGACTGCGGACTCACCAAACACTCGCCCTACACACTCCCAGCCGAGAAACGATGAGTCATCCTTGAAAGCCGAGAAGAGCCGAAAAATTTCAACTAACTCGGCTTGACTCAATTTAGACGTATTGCGTTTGAAAAAATAAACACGTTTGAAAATCCTCTCTCCGGCTTGAAACTATAAAAATTTGGTGTCAAAATGTTTGATGTTTATTATAATTCTTGAATAAAATTAAATATTATAAACGTTTCTCTGCAGATGTCAAATGTATTGTATGTTTCAATGACTATTTCCCAGTCGATTGTTGATTAAATATGCCATCCTAAACTTCCTTGTATTATTGTAATGACTTTTCTCTGTATTTACTAATCAATTGCAATTCAATTATTCTCTACTCGTGCAAATTTTTCAAATACGACCTCAAAAAAAATCTCTATACTATCAAAATTTACAAAACTCTTGTAATTTTGACCTGACCACCTGTAAAAATATATGAGTTAACATGCACAATAGTTAGCCTAGATGATCGCGGTACCAAAACATGATCCCAACAAAACATAATCCCAAGTTTTCACCAGCGGAAAAGTAGCAAAAGCTGGCAGATTAGCTAAAATGAATAGATTTCATTCCAACAGATTCACATGCTTGATAGAAAAATTTATGAGCTTCAAAACTCTGACTCTTATGTCTGTTTTCATTTGATTATTTATACCCTTAAAACAGAGGTGTGGTAGTGCAGAAGGTTTCGATCTTAATAATTTTGCAAAAGAAAATTAATATTTGCTAAATGTTTTTTTTTCAAATTTTTTTTTGGATTTTTCATAAAGGAAGAAATTGGACTTTGCGGGTCCATTGGACAAAAATTGGGGCAACTCAAAATATCTATTACTATGTATTGATCGCTTCTCAAAGTTTCCGTCAGCAAAGGTGGTGAATATCACTTCAGCTTTTTCGCTTTTATCTTTTATGTCAGATTATTGTCACCTTCATGGATTTCCGAAGTCTATCAGAGTCGACCATAGGTCATGTTTTATTTCGAACGATTTTAAAACTTTCCGCAAGAAGAACAACAATAACTTAATTTTATGTAAGGTCGGGGATCACATATCCAATGGAGTCGTAGAACGACTCATCTACACAATTAAAGCAAAACTTTTGGCAATGTCGTTTAACGAACCCAAGCCATCTTTAACCGCGGCAATTGATAAAATCATTTAGAATATTCGTTCACTAGTTGCTTTTTTAAGACATCGGTCAGTTTTAATGCAATATTTTATTTTATTCCTTTTAACCTAGTTTAGTTAGAATAGTTACCAGTGGTATTTGCACACTTTTATTATGGCGCAGTCATCAATTGATTCAAATCTGCCGGGGATTTCCCGCCTTTTGGCCAAATCACACGATAGAACCACCCACCCAAAGGACCAACTGGATAGAACAATTTCATCTGGCTATCATCGCTAAAGAGAATTTAGATATAGATAATCTAAAGGCACCATTGGATCTGGGGACTACGATCCCTATCCTAGAAGGCGCCCAGGAGTCAAAAAATGATCCACAGAGCAAAAGCCAGTGAGGCCAGAAATAAAGAGACCATGCGAGTCTACAAACACGCCGAGGACAAAATAATAGCAGAAGAGAAACGAAAATTCGGAGGCATGAGAAAATACGATGCCGATCAATCTTATATTTGGCCCTAGGAGCGGAAGGAAAGAGAGTTTTTGCTCAAAAACACCCAAGGGTTAAAGTCCTAGAAATCTTCAAAGAATTTTTCGATCTACTGGAAACAGCTTTTATCAAAACGACAAATATTACGTTTGAACGATACAAATTGCTAAGCAGAAAACAGAAGGACAGGGAATCATATGAACAATTTTGGGGCGCTCTATCAGACTTAGCAAGATCATGTGAAATTGGAATCAACGCCGAACAGGAGTTGATAAGAGATGTATTTATTTTTAACATGAAAAACTGATTTACAACGAAGATTACTCTCGGAAACTCTTAATCCAGTGGATGCACTCAATCAAGCCATCATCGACGAAAAAGACTACTACAACCATCTTAAACTAACAAACATGACTAGATCATTCAACACGACACGAAGTGGCGGCAGAGTGTACAAAAACTTCAATAATGTACAAAAGGAACCAAGTTTCAACAAAGAAAGATCTAATACTTGTATGAAATGTGGGAGTGCGTTTACCAAGGGTCACCTGAATGTGTGTCCGGCAAAGGAAATAATCTGTAACATTTGTAAATATAAAGGACATTTTGAAAGACTGTGTAAATCGAATGGAAGAAAACCCGCTGTAAATACTGTAGAAGAAGTTGTAAATAGTCAGAATTGTCCATACTCCCCAAAAGACCCACAAGCAAGAAGTGAAGAAAACTTTTGTGGCGTGGTTAATGCTTGGGGGTGAAATCATTGGTGGGAAAGTCAGATGCTATGAGAAGCCTTCCAAACCCCAAAAACATATCTGGATTAAGGTCATTCTTCGGCTCGGTCAACCAATATATGAAGTTCGTCCCGAACCTGTCAACCCTAAGTTCTCCGTTACGCCCACTTTTAGTTTAAAAAAATCAGTTTACCTATGGAACGACGATCACACGAAGGCTTTCGAAGAATTAAAAAAACAGATTGTTAACATTACAGAGAACAACCATTTCGATATAAAAAGGATGTCAAGAATAAAAACGCTTCACACAGTGGTCTGGGAGCCACATTAGAACGATGGGACGAAAAAAATTGGTTAACAATAGCATTCGTTTCTCGATTTTTAAATAGTCATGAAATGAATTACTGAACAAATGAATTAGAACTGTTGGGAGTGGTTTGGGCTACAGAGCATTTAGAAAATTACTTGTATGGCGCCGAGTTCGAGATTGTAACGGACCACAAGGCATTGTTATCAGCCTTAAACGCTATTAAAAGTAACAATACTATGCACAGCAGACTGACCCGTTGGGTAAATTGACTTTTACCATTTAATTTCAAGATCAAACATATACCAGGAAAAGACATGGGATTTACAGATTTATTGTCGAGATTACCTTCGGAAAAGCGCTCCCAATCTCACACTACGATAACGACTTTGTAGTGGCAACAGTGAAAAAGATTGTAGATAACCTCTCTGTAAATATTGATTGTAAAAAGAATAATTGTACAAAGAACGAATTGTACAATCCAGTGGATTTAAATACTATTACTAACTTGGATCACAATAATCCAATGGGCGGAAAGAAATTAACTCTACACATCCAACGGTCGTTCTTCGCGAATATTCTTAACTACGTTAACGATACAATTAGAATTTGTAATTCTAATGACTCGCGTTCAGAGTCCTGTACAAGCGGTTGCATCCCATTAAACCTTTCAAATTTCAATTTTAGTTTTTTCCATGTTTCAGACAAAACTTGCCTATTTTTTTTCTTTCACATTCATTATTATCAGTTAACCAGTCACTAAATCCCGAAAAAATCGATTTGAAGAATTTCTCGCGTCTGTGAATTCGTTAAAAATTTCCCTTAAGGCGGAGAATAAGTTTCGACAACGGCATAATGTTAGATATTCACAAAAAATTACTCGCTAAATACAAGGGAGATCTGAAGTTACCAGACACTCCATCATCTTTCATCGAACATTGCTCAAACAGACTAATTAGACTTATGACAGAAGAGGACAAAACTCTCAAGGATGTGAAGAAGGCAGTAGAAGAAGGCAGACCATTGGACAGATTCGGAGCTTACCTGAAGACCTTTCATTGAGACATCCACGTGAAAGAAGGATTGTTATTCAATGATATTAACTGATAGTGGCAGCAGCTCTGAGACCGCCATTTTTGTCACTACTCCATGAAACCCACCCAGGACAGTTCGGAATAAAATCTCTGGCAGAAAACATCTGGTGGCCACATTTAAATAGAGAGATTTTTTACCATGGGAAAAACTGTATCCAGTGTATCAGGGCGGGTAAGAATTTAAAAGTGATTTTGGGCACGAGCAATACTGAGAAATTGCCAATTTTATCTAAAGCAAATGAAGAAGTAGACTTAGACTTTGCGGGTTCATTGGACAAAAATTGGGGAAACTCAAAATATCTATTACTATGTATTGATCGCTTCTCAAAGATTCCGTCAGCAAAGGTGAAGGTGGTGAATATCACTTCAGCTTCTTCGCTTTTATCTTTTATGTCAGATAATTGTCACCTTCATGGATTTCCGAAGTCCATCAGAGTCGACCATGGGTCATGTTTTATTTCGAACGATTTTAAAACTTTCCGCAAGAAGAACAACAATAACTTAATTTTATGTAAGGTCGGCGATCACAGATCCAATGGAGTCGTAGAACAACTCATCTACACAATTAAAGCAAAACTTTTGGCAATGTCGTTTAACGAACCCAAGCCGTCTTTAAACGCGGCAATTGATAAAATCATTTAGAATATTCGTTCACTAGTTGCTCTTTTAAGACATCGGTCAGTTTTAATGCAATACCTTATTTTATTCCTTTGTAACCTAGTTTAGTTAGAATAGTTACCAGTGGTATTTGCACACTTTTATTATGGCGCAGTCATCAATTGATTCAAATCTGCCGGGGATTTCCCGCCTTTTGGCCAAATCACACGATAGAACCACCCACCCAAAGGACCAACTGGATAGAACAATTTCATCTGGCTATCATCGCTAAAGAGAATTTAGATATAGATAATCTAAAGGCACCATTGGATCTGGGGACTACGATCCCTATCCTAGAAGGCGCCCAGGAGTCAGAAAATGATCCACAGAGGAAAGCCAGTGAGGCCAGAAATAAAGAGACCATGCGAGTCTACGAACACGCAGAGGACAAAATAATAGCAGAAGAGAAACGAAAATTCGGAGGCATGAGAAAATACGAGGCCGATAAAAAAGTAAGATCAATCTTATATTTGGCCCTAGGAGCGGAAGGAAAGAGAGTTTTTGCTCAAAAACACCCAAGGGTTAAAGTCCTAGAAATCTTCAAAGAATTTTTTGATCTACTGGAAACAGCTTTTATCAAAAGGACAAATATTACGTTTGAACGATACAAAATGCTAAGCAGAAAACAGAAGGACAGGGAATCATATGAACAATTTTGGGGCGCTCTATCAGACTTAGCAAGATCATGTGAAATTGGAATCAACGCCGAACAGGAGTTGATAAGAGATGTATTTATTTTTAACATGAAAAACTGATTTACAACGAAGATTACTCTCGGAATTTCTTAATCTAGTGGATGCACTCAATCAAGACATCATCGACGAAAAAGACTACTACAATCATCTTAAACTTACAAACATGACTAGATCATTCAACACGACAGGAAGTGGCGGCAGAATGTACAAAAATTTCAATAATGTACAAAAGGAACCAAGTTTCAACAAAGA